GGATCTTGGAGGCCTTGGGAGGCAGAGGCATGCGGCTCTTTGTGAGTTCAAGGCTAGCCTGGTCTACATAGTGAGTTCCAGGACAGCTGGGGCTACAAGGAGACCCTGTCTCAAAAAGACAAAAAAAAAATTTTTGCTTAAGTAATGCAAATTAAGGTATCTCTAGTGCAGCTGACACTGAGCTGAGGGAGCTAAACAAGGAAGGAAACTCCCTTGGGCTGGAGAGTTGGCTCAGCAGTTAGGAGCACTGGCTATTCTTGCAGAAGATCCATGTTTGAATCCCGGTGCCCACATGGTGGCTAACAACCATCCATAACTCCAGTTCCAGGGGATCTGACACCCTATTCTGTCCTCTGTAGGCATTGTACAACACAGATACATTTATATACGTGCAGGTAATACACACATACACAAAATTAAAATAAAGCAAAAAATATTTAAAAAAAAAAAAAGGAAACTCCCAAAAGGCTGATAAACATAGGTCGTTCCTAAGCTGCCAGTCCTTACCTGGTGTTTGCCAAACCCGATTTCCCTTTTCCTTTTTTTTTTTCTTTTTTTCAGTGAATGTGTTTATGATTGAATGAGTATATACCATGTATGTGTAGATGCCAGAAAAGGGTATTAGATCCCCTGGGGCTGCAGTTAAAGGCAGTTGTGAGAGGTCACACAGAAATGCTGGGAACTGAACTGGGGGTCCCTCTGGAAGGTAGGAAGCACTCTGAACTGCTAAGCCATCTCTCCAGCTCCATACTTCACCTTCTTAAGCCTCAAGCTGATCCTATGGTAGGCAAAGATCCACAAGCTGCCTATCTTGGGAAGTGGTAGAGTCAACCTGTTCCCCAATCCACCTTCTTAACAGTGGCCCTAATCTCCAGCTCTAAACCCCAACACTTCTACCTCCTGAACTAGACCATAAAACCTGGGCTAGCCTAAAGTACCCAAGCTCATGGTAGGACAGGGGCACAAACAAATAAGGGAAAATGGAAGAGAAGAAACAGCCAGGAAAGGGGCTTCATCCGAGGTCCCCAACTAGTTCCAAAACTTTCCTGACCCCCATTCCCTTCACACATACCTCTGGAGGATCACCATTGTGGCAGTCATTCCTGTTTATTTTAAACTAGTTCACATCAGGCTGATCTGAGTCATCAGTAGTCTCTCCCCTCTGTCAACAGAGAAAATGTCCTTTCCTAAAATGGGCTGACATCTCCCTACCACAGGCCCCCAAGGTCCCCACAGTCAACAGATCTGGACCTGCTTTTTGAGCACCATGATTTGCATAGAAAAGTGAAAGAATAGGCACTCTGAAGACAGCTGGTATCCCTTCTTGCCTAACCTTCCTTTCCTTAGAAAATGACATTCTGATTTCCTCAGGACTTCCAAGGAATAGAGACTAGAAACTTTCTGGAAATCCAGCCCTTAAAGACATGTACATTTCCTACTAAAGTACCATCCAAGCATTTGTGTTTACACCCATAGATTAAGTTATTATAGCAGCCACTGTTTAAAAAAAAAAAAAAGACTCCACCATCTTGGACTTTGCCTGGTAGTCATGGCAACTAGAGCAAAACCATTCAGTAGCTGCTAAAACTGTGACAATGGCAATGGAGCTATTGATACTCCCTCTTGCCTGAGATTCCAGCTATTACTCCCTTCCCCCTAGCTGCAAGTGATCTTGGGAGATACTAAACTATATTTAGAAGTTAAAAGTTGATTAAAAGCAAGACTCCTTGATACAGCTTCCATGAAGTTACCATCCATGATGGGTGGCACTTTGCAGTGATGAAGCTGTTCAGGGAGCACCCACATGCCCATAAGTAAGCCCTCACCCATGCTCTGTAAGAAAGTCCAAGGAACCCATTGATCTCACCAAGTTGGACTTTGGTGAAACCATACATTGGTCTGTCATTGATGCTCAGCTAATGATTGTGTATTTGTTTGTACCTCCCAAGCAAAGGTTAACACCTTGGCACACACATGCTCACTTGTTTGCTGTCTCCTCACATGCTCTTCCTGTGTAAACACACATTCCTGGCATTTCTTCCTCTTCTTCTAGGTCAGTAAATGCTGTTGGATCAGAGGCCACTCTAATGGCTTCATTTTACTTTATTACTCTTTACAAACCTTGTCTCCAAAAGGGGAACACTTAGCCACTGCTAATGGTGGTACAAGCTGCTGCAGCCATTGTGGAAAGCAGTGTGGAGATTCCTCAAAAACCTAAAAATTTATTTACTACATGACCCAGCCATATCACTCTTGGGTATATACATAAAAGACTCTATACCCTATTCATCCATGTTCATTGCTGCCCTTTTCATAATAGCTAGAAATTGGAAACAACCCAGATGCCCATAAAATGACTGGATAATGAAGGTGTGGTACATACACACAATGGAATATTCTTCAGTGCTTTAAAAAAAACAAAATTATGAAATTCACAGCTAAACAGATGGAACTGAAAACAATCATCCTGAATGAGGTAACCCAGACCCAGAAAGACAAATGTCACATGTTCTCTCTCATAGCTGGATGCTAGCCTTGAAATCTTAGATATGCATGTTTCAATTTGAAAATCCAGAGAAGTCAAGAAACTAATAAACAACCATGGATGGGTGGGTAGGGGCGGCTCCCCTGGGAGGGATGGTAGAATGCATTGATATGAAGGACGGAAAGGGGAATGTTAGACTAGAAAGGGTTAAATGGGATAGGGAATGCGAGGGCAGGCAGAGGAGGGCGTACGGGGAGAGATAACTAACACTAAAGGGCTTTAGAAAAAGCCATATGGAAACCCACCACTATAGAAGCTTCTTAAAGTATATACATATACATTATAAAACAGTAAAAGAAATTACCTTTTTAAAAAAAGACATATGCATTTAATGCTGAGGGACCCATAACGGGTTCTGCCCTATGGATTGCACAAATGGCTTAACCAGAGCAGCCTTCTAACTGTTCCTAAAATCCTGGCTGAGCTGCCAGTTGTGGGGACCAGCTGCATCTATCCACCCTTTCCTTGGCCAAGTGGCAGCCTTGTTTGTCCTGTGCATGTTATGAGGTATTTAGAACTGAGAATCCCCAGTGGTAAAAACAGTGAAGGACCACAGCATGACTCAGCTGAGCTCCACGCCTGCTCTCCAGCAATCGACTCTCCATGCCTCAGTGTCCTCTACAAAAGGAGCCAGAATTCCATCTCGATATCGAAGCACAGCAGAGGTGTGTGGAAAATAAGGTGCACTGGACACTCTCTTCACACCTTCCAGTACTTATGTTTCACTTAGGAGAAAAATCTAAGCCCCCAGGATGCTCTCCGAGGCTGGATAAGCGCTGGTGTCTGCCTGACTTCCCACCTAGCAGACCTTCACTGTTGGAATGCCATGCTTGCCTCCTTCTGGCATTGCTGGTCCTCACGCCTGGCACCCTTGGAGCCCTCATGTTACTGGGGCTCCATGATGTCTTCCCTGACCATTAGTCCACAGGGACACCCCACACTCTATCATGGCTGCTTCACAACTCTAAACACCATCTGAAATGAAACTCATTTATGTATTTATTGAAGGCAGGAAACATGTCTGTCATGTTTATCTTTAAATCTCTAGCTCTTGAGATGATGTCAAGGTCAGAGCATAAACAGTAGGCTCCGTTATGTTATCTTCACTTTTCCTTTCTGTGTTTTCCATTTCCCACAGATGTATGAGTATAGCATACTGAGATCAGAGTGTGGGAGGGAGCAGGTACATCCACTTCCTCTGTCTGTCTGTCTGTGAGTGCTGGACTGGAAAATGAACCCAAGGCTTCACTGTGCTAAACACCTGCTCTACTTCTACACGGAGCTACATCCCCAGGTCCTTGCATAAGTTTTTTTACAGTACTTTGTTGTAGTTGTTCAGTTCATTGATGGTTATTGTTAATCTCTCACTGTGTTGTGCTGTTTTATAAATTAAACTTTATCGTGTGTGTGTGTGTGTGTGTGTGTATGTGTGTGTGGGTGTGTGTGGTTGTGTGTGTGTGTGCTGTATATCTTTAGTGTCAACTTGACACAACTGGGTTGAGGGAGCCTCAATCGGGGAATTGCCTCTATTGGACTGGCCTGTGGCCATGTCTGAAGGGCATCTTCTTGATGAGTGATGTGGGAGGGCCCAGCCCACTGTGGGTGGTGCCACCCCTGGGCAGGTGGGCCTGTGTTGCATAAGAAAGCAGGCTGAGTAGGGGCCAAGGGAGCAAGCCAGTAAGCAGTGTTCCTCCATGGCCTGTGCTCCAGCTCCTGCTTCCAGGTTCCTGCCCTGAGTTCCTACCTTGGGCTCCCTGATGAACTGTGACCCGGGAGATGTAAGATAAATAAACCCTTTCCTCCCCAAGTTGGTAGTGGTCAGAGTGTTTTGTCACAGCAATGAAGAACAAACTAAGACAGTGTGTGTGTGTGTGTGTGTGTGTGTGTGTGTGTGTATGGAAAACCACATAAATACACAGGTATAAGGTCCAGATTCTGTGGTTGACAGCATCCAATGAGGGTCTTGGAATGTGCCCCCATGGGTAAGAGGGATGAGTATACTCAAATACTTGATGAACAAATGACTGTGACCAATCCACATGATGTCTGGGCTGTGCTACAGGTCCATTAATATGAGCTTCTGTTTGCTCTCTCAGTGGGATCTTCCCAATGCCCAGATTTGACTTCTGGTATTTTGCCATTCCTTATCTTGGAAAAGAACCCAGACTACCCTAGAATTAAGATCACTAACATGGCCCCCACAATTAGGTCTATAACTGACTAAGCTTCACCCAGAGATGGTGACCCTCATTCTTTAGTAATGAAGCTACTCTCATTCCAGGGAGGGTCCCTGTGAGCGCCAACATCCATTTGGTCAGTCACACTGCCTGGGTGCTGGAGTCTGGGGCCCTTCTCTATGAATGACAGGAACCAGGCTGGGGTTGTGAAGATTGCCTGTCACTCTTGACTAGTTCAGTGAGCTTTGTGTAGAGGAGCACAAATAAAGAGACACAGGTCACGGGGCAGGTGTGTATTTAAAATTCCTCCCCCTCATTCTCTTCTTCAAATGAATCAGTTCCCACTTCTTCATAATCCTTCTCCAGGGCAGCCAGGTCCTCCCTGGCCTCAGAAAACTCGCCTTCTTCCATTCCCTCTCCAACATACCAGTGTACAAAAGCCCGTTTGGCATACATGAGATCAAACTTATGGTCCAGGCGGGCCCAGGCCTCTGCAATTGCTGTAGTGTTGCTCAGCATGCAAACAGCCCGCTGGACTTTGGCCAGGTCCCCTCCTGGCACAACGGTGGGTGGCTGGTAGTTGATCCCCACCTAGGGAACAGAGAAAGAAGAAAAGCAACAGAATGACATGCAAGTCAACCAAAGACAACTCTAGGCAGCTGTGTCAGTAACAAGGTGTGTTGGCAAGACCCAGTCATAGGTGTGCAAGAAGGAATGGGGAGGTTGGGAATGTGGGCAGGTAGAAAGGGCATGTACCAAAGAGAAGATGAAAGGGAGCTGGGCATAGTGGTACAGGCCTGTAATCTCAGCTCCAAGGTATCTGAGGCAGGAGGATCACAAGTTCAATGTTGGGTACAAACAAATTCAATTGCGGTCAAGGGCTTGGGAGCTAAAGGCAGGAGAAGAAATGTAGGAAAGGCTGGTAATGGAAAGGTATGTTAGTGCAAAGTATCAAACTGACAGGTGGACGAACTGAGTGGAATCGTGACATTCTTTCCATTAGAGGCAAATCAATTTCTAGAACTGAATTATTATCAAGTTTATTCTTTCCAAGATGTTTATCTGATGTTCCCCTTATTTTGCAAATAAATTTAGGAAAAGTGTTCTGTCAAAGGTGAAGGAGTTGTTTAAAAGATCACAGGGAAAATCCAGAGCAATAAATACAAAAAGGTCCTTAGGGAAAGTGTGTTAACGAGGCCTGTGTCTCTGAAAAACAAGGCTCTTGTAAAAAAAAGCAAAACACCAATCAAAGAAGTTAGTCAAAGGTCTCATCAAGCAAGCCAACCTACCGAGTTCTGGTAGCACACTAGGGTCCGCCCAGCACTTTGCCCAGCCCAGTATCACAGTGAGGCTTTTATGCTAGAAATTTCCCCTCATTATGTTCCAAACCATAGTCAGTCCAAGAACAATATGAAACTAGAAGGCATCAAAGATGACAAACTGTGACATTGTCTGTAGGACACTAAGAATCATGGTATTGCTCAAGACAAACACTTCTACCCAGGTCATCCAGCCCAAATTGCCAACTTCTTAGATTCATCACTTTAAAATATTTGTCTTCCCAGTGGGACTGGCTGCCAGGCATGCGGCCACTCAACAGAGGACCACAAATGTGAAAGGGAGAGGCATTGGATATAAACATTACCAGGTCATATATCTTGCTGGTGTGGCTCTGGCCAGCATATAGGCCTTAAGCCTGGAGCCAACTCTCTTCCCTTCTCAACACTGACATCCTTAGACCTCAGTGAAGCTGTGTATAAATACTCCCGAGGACAATGTGAGCAGGTGGAGTTTAGCAATGTATACTCTGCTGGTGCATGCTTTTCTGACAAGCAGCTAAAAATGCCAACACCATTTCATTTAGCTTTCTGGATGTATCCTCAAAGTAAGCTTAAAACAGAGAGCAGAGCTGGAGAGATGGCTCAGTGGTTAAGAGCTTGGGTTCTCTTGCAGAGGACCCAGGTTTGGTTCCCAGCATCTACATAAGAGGGTGGGCCTGTAACTCCAACTCCAGGGAATCTAACACCCTCTTCTGGCTTCCAAGGGCACAGGCACACACACAACACACACACACACACACATACACACACACACACACACACACACATATAATTAAAAATTAAATTTTTAAAAAGGAAAATATGTTTAACCAATTTAAATTTTTTTAATTTTATTCATTTTTTTTCATTGTATTTGTATGTGGAGTATTTAGTGTGCATGTATGTAACTGTACCATATTCAGTAAGTACCTATGAGGGCCAAAGAGGGCATCAGATCCCCTGGAACTGGAGTTAAAGAAAGTTGTTAGCCACCATGTGGGTGGCTGAGAACCAAATCAGGGTCCTCTGTAAGAGCAGCCAGTGTTCTTAACCACTGAGACATCTCACCAGCTCCAGATGAACCAATTTTAAATAGTAACAAACTCATATATTTTCTAAAATTGCTTAAGCAGACAAACTTTCAACAGCATTTATGTCTCAGCCAAAGCTGAATGAAGTTTATGTTGCATTTCGTTTAAGTCCCTCTCCCTGCACTATCAAACACCAGAAGCTCTCAAGACTCTGTTCTCTGAGGTAATCCCCGGTTCACCTACAGTTCTCTCCTTCTTTAAGCCATCAGCTCTCACCTTGAAGCCTGTGGGACACCAGTCAACAAACTGAATGGTCCTCTTGGTCTTGATGGCAGCGATAGCGACATTCACATCCTTGGGTACCACATCACCCCGGTAGAGCATACAGCAGGCCATGTACTTGCCATGTCGTGGGTCACACTTTACCATCTGGCTGTTGGGCTCAAAGCAGGAGCTGGTTATCTCAGCCACAGACAGTTGCTCGTGATAGGCTTTCTCAGCAGAAATGATGGGCGCATAGGTGACTAGCGGGAAGTGGATGCGGGGATAGGGCACCAAGTTGGTCTGGAACTCTGTGAGGTCCACATTGAGGGCTCCATCAAAGCGGAGAGAGGCAGTGATTGAGGACACTATCTGGCTGATGAGGCGGTTGAGGTTGGTATAAGTGGGACGCTCAATGTCCAGGTTCCTGCGGCAGATGTCATAGATGGCTTCGTTATCCACCATGAAAGCACAGTCAGAGTGTTCCAGAGTGGTGTGTGTTGTCAGGATGGAGTTATAGGGCTCCACTACTGCTGTGGACACCTGAGGTGCCGGGTAGATGGCAAACTCTAGCTTGGACTTCTTGCCATAGTCAAGGGAGAGGCGTTCCATCAGCAGAGAAGTGAAGCCAGAGCCAGTGCCCCCACCAAAACTATGGAAGATCAGGAAGCCCTGCAAGCCAGAGCATGCGTCTGTCTGGGAATATCAAGAAACAAGAAGAAATCATGAGGATGACTTGCTCAGAATCCCCTACAGGGGGACAAAGCCACAAACCTCTGTCTGCCCTACCCTATCCTTAATACTTTCATGGGAGTGAACTCATAACAGCCTTGAACAGATAAGGAAACACAAAAGAGGTTGTTATAATCTTGGGAGAAGTGGCTGACAAACTACATAAACATGTACCTCTAGGTACATCAGGCTCTGCCTGGGAGCTGGCCAAAACAGGAGTAGGCATCCCAGAGAGTGGGCTTTGCCCTCTGAGAGCTTCGACCCTACCACTACTCCTGACCCTGGCATATGATTTTACGGGAATTGCTGACCTATACATCTCATCCATGGAAGGGTATCAGGGTAGCAGTCTTAGGAATGTAAATGGAGCCAGGGAATCTGGGGTTTTTGTTGTTGTTGTTGTTGTTGTTGTTGTTGACAAATCAAAGCTGTGCATGTTTATGGGGTGCAATGTGATGCTCCAGCTTTTGGTACATTGTGGAAAGACCAAATCAAGACAATCAACCCATCCATGAGTTCCAGCTTGCAAGCACTTAATTAAGCAAGTTATTAACCTTTCCAAGTTTCTGCTCCCTTTGGCTAAATCCTCACCTTAGAAGGTTATTGTGGGAGTTAAGTGAGAGCACATCATGTTCTGAACAAGCATTTGATGTGCAGTGAATATCAGAACTAAGAGTATATAGAATTACGGTGTGAGCTATGAGCATTAAATCCAGTGATTCTGATGATGTGCAGTGAATATCAGAACTAAGAGTATAAAGAATTACGGTGTGAGCTATGAGCATTAAATCCAGTGATTCTGAACTTTATGGCACCATAGACATCATTGAGACAACCCCATAGAAAAAGTAAACATATACAAAAACGTGGCATCTTTAGTACTTAGTTAAAAAAAAATCAAGTCAAACTTTTTCCATCACATGGATCAGGAAATGGGGCCTTAAACAAAGTGACAACCCATAATGCAGAGTTTTGTGGTCAAATCAATCTAATTCAAATTCTAACTGCACTTTTTTAGCTGCGCAACCCAAGTTAAGATACCAAGCCACCCTGGCCCTCAACTCTTGTATCTGTTAAGTACAAGGGAAAGGCTCACATGAATGTTTATTAAGGATTAAATGAAGGGGTGTAATTAAAATTTGTAATGCATTTGTAAGTATTCAAATGTGTCAACCTATTTTTCTAACTTTAGTCTTTCTTATGTCTGAAATCGTCCCAGGATATTACCACAGACTAGCAATAAGTATCAACAGGGCATCAGTCTATACGGTAGGCCAGGCTACTCAGGTAGAGAAAGGTATATTATAACCCTGTGAATGTTCCTTCCTAAACATAAGCAAAAGGCTAGGGGTACAATTCAATGGTATAGCATGTGTTTAGAATGATGAGGCCTCTAGATTATTTGATCCTCAGCACTACACACACACACACACACACACACACACACACACACACACACACACACACACAGAAAACTAGCCAGGTGATATGTGTGACATGTGCCTCTATCCTGCCTGAACAAAGATTTAAGTCCAAAGTCTGCTCATTCTAACCTGATCAGACTCACTCTAAACTGCTTTGTTGAGCTTACCAGCTTGCGGATGCGGTCCAGCACCAAATCAATGCTCTCCTTTCCCACAGTATAGTGCCCCCGGGCATAATTGTTAGCTGCATCTTCTTTTCCTGTGATCAGTTGCTCTGGATGGAAGAGCTGGCGGTAGGTTCCTGCCCGCACTTCATCTGACAAAAGACAGGACCCTTAGATAGTCACCTGGTTTCCAGGGGAGATGCTCCAGCTCTTTCAGATGAGCCCATTGCTTTGTGAAATCTGCCCACCCACCCTAGAGGAAATCTGCATAGGACTGAGATCCTAAATAACAAGGGCATTAACCAAACCTGAGTCCCAGAGCCAATGGAAGAGGCGCCTTGAGCAGATACCACTCACCAACACCAAGGCCACCTTCTCTTTCCTCTCTCTCTCTCTCCTCTCTCTCTCTCTCTCTCTCTCTCTCTCTCTCTCTCTCTCTCTCTATTCTTGACAGCAATAATTTAACCCAATGTCATTTGTATTCAAATGACATGGAGAAAGATTCCAGGTGATCTGCCCTCCCACAAGTTGTCCCAACCTGTACCTTCCTGTCTCAGAATTCAGTAATGTAAGACATGCATTAGGCACTTTGCTTGCCTGTTTGTTTGAACCTGGGTATGGTCCCAGCACCTGGAGCATGCTAAGCATGTGCTGTACTGCTGAAGCATACTCCTAGCCCTAGACAGATCTTAGAATGACTCTTAAGCAAAACTAATCTCCAGGTCCTGGAGGAGGAGGAGCCCTAACAGAGGCTTTCATGGGGGATCTGCTCACTTTCTATGGTCCAGGGTAAAACATGGCAAACAAAGATACATTAGAGATGCCACCTATATCATCTCTAAGGATCCCTCTACCCTATCTAGGAAAATCATCCATGTGTGCAGGGGCCTGGGCTGATAACCCACGTTCTGCCTCTTTTAAAAAATTATTTATGACTTTTCTTTATAAATTAATTTTTAGCTTATTTATTTATTTTTGGTTTTTTGAGATATGGTCTCCCTGTAGCCCCAGCTGGCCTGGAACTTGCTATGTAGACCAGGCTGGCCTCAGTCTTACAGAGATCTGCCTGCTTCTGCCTCTCAAGTGCTGTGATTAAAAGAGTACATCACTATGTCCAGCTTGTTGATTTATTTTAATTTTATGTGTATGCGTATTTTTCCTGCATGTATATAAGTGTACCACATGCATACAATCACCACTGAGGCTGAAAGAGAATGTTGAATCTCCTGGAACTTGAGTTACAAACGGGAATTAGCTGCCATGTGGGTTCTGGGAATAGAATCCAGGTCTTCTGCAAGAGCAGTCAGTATTTCTTAACCACTGAGCCATCTCTCTAGCCCCCATACTCTGCCTCTCCACAAAACATCCAGAGGGCAGAGTACCTGCAGCCTCAGTGCCTGGCACTGAAGGCGTTTTGCTCAGACATCTCTGTGTAATCTGTTTATCAGTTGCTTGATGAGCAGCCTTGAAGCTGAGGAAATCTTAATGTTTAACTGAGGATGACCCAGTCCAGGCGGAGTGGCACTACTGGAAGTAGGGGAGGACTGTGGTGGAAAGGGTTAGGCATTGGGAACCCTGCCCTGTGATAAAACAGAATCCATCTATATTTTTCTAGATCTGAAGGAGTGATGTTCTGGAAATACAGCAACTGTAATTAGGAATGTGGCTGCGGTGACCCCACGCTGAGTGTGAAGTACTTCAAGGTAGAGCAGATTGCAACTCTTACAGAATCAGAAAGCTAAGTGGGGAAACTCACTGTTTAAAAGGTTTCTTTTTCTAATATTTTTATGTGTAGGAGTGTTTTGCCTGCAAATATGTGCACCATGTGCATGCAATATCTGTGGTGGCCAGAAGAGGTGTCAGAGCCCCTGGAACTGGAGTTAAGGATCGTTAGCCATCATATGGGTGCTGGCAACTAAGTACTCTTAACCATTGCGCCATCTCCACAGCCCATATTTGAGAAGTTTCTAACAATTTCTAAACTGTTTTTAAATCCCTACTGTTAGCAACAATCTTAGCAACTTCAATCTGTCTCCACAGGTTTAAGAAAGCACTTTGTAGGTTGGACGTGGTAGTGCTTGCCTTTAATCCCAGCACTTGGGAAGCAGAGGCAGGCAGACCTCTGTGAGTTCAAGGCCAGCCTGGTGTACATAGTGAGTTCCAGGCCCACTGGGGCTTCAGGGAGATTCTGTCTGAAAAAGACCAAACCCCTCCCTTTGTACTGCATAGATTAGCGGAGGTCCTTGATCCCCACTACAAGACTCCCTAAGACTATGGATACATGGAGCCAATGGAAGTCACATGGGGGATGAGTAAAGTTGGCCACCCACACCTTTCACCTTGCTTCACTTTCATAAACCAAAGCCTGCTGTTTCTGGTAAAGTACTCACCTACGACAGTAGGCTCCAGATCGACCATGACAGCCCGGGGCACATGTTTCCCATTGCCGGTCTCGCTGAAAAAGGTGGTGAAGGAATCATCGTCGTTGATCTTACTGGCCTGAGTACCAAAGGTGCCATCTGCCTGGATGCCGTGTTCCAAACAGAAGAGCTCCCAGCAGGCGTTGCCAATCTGAACTCCCGCTTGACCCACGTGAACTGATATGCATTCCCGCTGTGGAGACAGTCCAGCAGTCAAGATCAGAGGAGCCCAAGGTCGTGGCCACAGACTGAGGCCCCACATCTGAGGGCTGTCTGTTCTTCCCACTCAACCTATAGGACCCTCAACCCTACAGCCACCCCACCCACAAGCAGGGTTAATGTCTGGGGGTTCCATGTGCCTGGGCATCACTACATTCAGTCCAAGACTTCACCCCAAAGGAGACAGTTTTTCTGTCGTTTGCTTGCTCTAAAGGTCACTTTCCAAGGTTAATCCTTTGTACCTGTTACTGATGAAAAAGCAAAGACAACAGCAGAAACTAACTTTAAGCTTGAATTCCTAAACCCTGACTTTCTGAGACATCACACACAGAGTCTCTGACTATCACAGGGCAGCTATCACAGGCACCATTAGTGTTATGCTTACAGTGGAAACATGCACGGAGTCTTATACCATCAAGGACTAATGGGAGCCTGGGTGGTCTAAGTCAGGCTCTTCCTGAATGCTGGGAAATTAAAAACATTTTTAGAGCCACCATTAAGTATCTCCTCGCTTATATCAGGCCAGATGTTAAGTAAAACTAATCTTTTTAATCTCCCTACTGTCTGTGTTGCTCTGATGTGAAGCCACAATTGTCTAATAAATTCTAGCATCATCACCTGAGGTCAGGGTGTGTGTGTGTGTGTGTGTGTGTGTGTGTGTGTGTGTGTGTGTGAGAGAGAGAGAGAGAGAGAGAGAGAGAGAGAGAGAGAGAGATGTGTCTGTGTGTCTGTGTGTGTCACTTCCAAGCAGACTTCCAAATGGACACATCCCTACCCATTCCCAGCCCTTGGGGACACAATGGCCCACACAGGGTGGCTCTGTGCTGTGATCCCTGCCAGAACACAGCAGGAAAGCATGCGCCTGGTTTGTCAGTTTCTATTCTCATCCATGACCTGACGTGACATTTTCCAGCAACGGGTAACCCAAGCCAGGAGCAGAGCCTCCAGAGAGCATGCTGGTCATGGAAACAAGTAATGTCCACATCAAACTTCAGGACTCCTGGGAACTCAGGAGCTTCTCCAAATATAGGAGCAGAGCAAGTGCCCCAAATATCTCCAAGGGTCAGAGATGCCAGGACCTGTTTCCCCCTGGTTCCGTTTCCCCTGTTCTGTTCATCACTCTGCTAGCACTGAGGGATGGGTTGCCCTTGCCAAGAAGGAAAGTACATAGGCCTTCATTCCACTAATATGGATCACAGTCCTGCACAGACTACAACCCAGCAGTATGTCCTGGTGCCCAGGGGAAAGTTTCACTCACAGGTTGCCCAGGCCTGTGCTTCATGTCTGGCCCTCTCAATCTGCTTGCTTTGTTGTGTAACCTTGGCTGACTCACTTAACCTCCCCTCATCTGAAAGTAAGCATTCAGCCTTGATGGTTAGAATAGTCACTGGTTTTACCGTTGTCTTCTTTATGGCTTGACCTTGTAGCTTATTTTCCACCTGTAGGAGCACTGTTAGAGTCAGACCTCTCAGGCTCAAATTCCTACCGCCTTTATCACAGAGACTGTTATCTACGTCCATCTTAAGTCTCAACTCAGAACTAAGGAAAGCTTGTTCTACAGTAAGGAGGTAGACAGACCATCTCAGTTACCAGTCACATGGTGAAAGATGCTTGGAATAATCTAATTGGGGTAACATGTATAATCTTACAATTTAATAAGTGGAATAGTATACACACAGAAAAAGAAAAGCATGTCCTAGAACAAGGAACTGCCCCACGCTCAGTGTGTTATTGATGCGCAGCATGGTTCACATTCAACAAGCAGCTCTGGTTCCCAGGAAGGCACCCAACACTGAGGAGGCATTGGACAGGCCCAAAAGAGACTGATTCTGGATCTTCTCCTCCCAAATACAGTACCTTCTGTGGCCCCAACCTTCAGCTTTCTGAGACTTGTTCTTCCTTCCCACCATCACACCCCAACCATCCCCAGCCCTGTTAAGGGTACCCTGCTGCCTGAACTCCAGTCTGACTTCCTTTCTGGAACACTCTATGTCTTTCTGGGGAAGATGCAGGGCTGTTGCAGGAGGATCAAAAATCATGGGAAGAGGAGCAGAGAATAGTAGTGACCTTGAGAGCAGTGTGCTTAGCCTCTTGAACGCCCTCTTCAGTCTTATATTAATAAATATGCTTCTTGGGACTGGAGAGATGGCTCAGCAGTTAAGAGCACTGACTGCTCTTGCAGAGGACCTGGATTTGATCTGGCACCCACATGGTGGCTCACAACCATTCATAACTCTATTTCCAGGGAATCCAACTTCCTCTTCTGACCTCTGTGGGCATTGTACACATGTGGTACACTTACAAGCATGCATGCATAACATTCATACACAAAAACACATTTTTTAAAAAATTGGGGTCTCTTTGAGACAGGGTCTCCCTGTAGCCACAGCTGGCCTTGAACTCACAGAGATCTGCCAGCCTCTGTATCCCAAGTGCTGGGATTAAAGGTGTGCACCACCACACCTGGCAATTTAATTTTCTTTAATTTAAAATAGAGAAATATGCATCTTCACAGAGAATCTCTCTCTTGCGTGCGCACGTGCTCTCTCTCTCTCTCTCTCTCTCTCTCTCTCTCTCTCTCTCTTTTTCTCTGAGGTATAATACCAACTCAAAAATGACTAATAGGCCCATAGGTAATCTTAAAAGTCAAAAATAGCTACACCTATCAGGAGAAAATGACTATCTCACAAAACTTGTGCAATAACAGGAACCAGAGGCTCCTTGGGAAAGCAGGCTTTCAGGTCTGGGTTGAGGAAATACAAGATGAACCTACAACATCCCACAGCACCTAAAGCACAGAAGCTAACAAAGGCTGAGATGATGGCAAAGCCAACCTGAAGAGGCTCTGCAAAGAGGAATGCCAGTGAAGAGCCAGGCATTTGGGGGGGGGGCGTCACACTGTGGCCCCAGCACTCAGGAGAGAGACTGAGAAGATCACAAGTTCAAAGTCAGCCTGTAGGAGACATAGTAATACCATGGATGAAAAATAAATAAATAAATAAATAAACTAACTAGGGGCTGGACAGATAGTTCGGTGGGTAAGAACACTTTCTATGCAAACAGGAAGACCTAAGTCCAAATCCCCAGCACCCACACAAAAAGCCAGGCATGGTTGTACCCCAGCACTGGGGGGTGGAAATAGGCAGATCCCAGGAGCAAACTTCCCATTCAGTGAGAGACCCTGTCTCAAGGCAATAAGGCAAAAAGCAATAGAGACAATCGAAGTCCTGCTCTGGCTTCTATGTGTGTGCATGGATGTGTATACCTGCATGCTCATGTACATACACCACACACATATACACCACATGCACACATACACCCATAATTAAAGAACAGTGAAATGCTGGAGATGTACTTCAATGGTAGAATGTTTGCGCAAGGCCCTAGATAGAATCCTCATCACTAAAAAAAAAAATACAATAAGAACATTTGATTGAAACAGGATATTTAAAAGTCCACAAGTCCTTACTGCTATTAAAAAAGAAAACCTAGAAGCC